GTCCTGATGCCACCCTGGGTACCACTTGCACAGTCCCCACTGTGGATGGAACCTGGCAGTAAGGTGGCACTGGGTGGGTCGGTGCCACCAGGGGTGGGAGTCACTGTGGCTGGATGTCACCGTGGGTGGGTGTGACGTGAATGGGTGTCACTAGGTGGGGGGTGTTACCATCAGTTGGTGCCACCATGGGTGCCACTCCCTCAGCTGTCCCCATCGCAGATGGGAAATGGACCGATGGCATCCAGCACTAAGGTGGCACTGGGTGTGTGGATGCCACCCTGGATGCTGTGTGCACTGTCCTTGTTGTGGTTGCCACTTGGACCCAGTGGCATCTGCTGATAAGGTGACACTGGGCGGGCGGATGTCACTGTGAGTGAGTGCCACTTGTGCTGGCCCCGTCACAGATGCCACCAGGATTTGGCAGCAGCTGGTGGCAGGGTGGCACTGAGTGGGTGAGCATCACCGTGGGTGAATGTCTCCATGAGTGGGTGTCTCCATGAGTGGGTGTCACCATGCCACCCTGGGTGCTCCCGTGTTGTCCCCAGGGCAGGTGGCACCAGGACCTGGTGGCGTCTGGCAGTAAAATGTCACCAGGTGGTTGGTACCATAGGTGTGCATCACCACGGGAGTGTGTCACACGTGTGGATGCCCCCCCTGATGCCACCACATTGTCCTTGTCGTGGGTGGCACTGGGGTCTGGTGGCATTTAGTGGGAAATGTGGCACTGGTGGGTGACCACCGTGACTCAGTGTGTCCCTGTGGGAGGGTGTCCACCCCTGTGGGGGTCCCCGCAGGCGGGTGCCACCCTCACACTTTGCCCACGGCAGATGGCAGTGGGGAGGATGGCAGTGGTGTTCCCTGGCCACCGAAAGTCGTGAGCCCGGCCCCCAGCAGCGGGCTGGCACCCACCGGTAAGGGGACGCTGTGGATGGCACCTGGCCCCGGGCTGGTCCCCGCTGGCGCCGCTCTCAACCTCTGTCTCCTCTTCATCCTCCTCCTCCTCTTCCTCTTCCTCCTCCTCCTCCCTGGGGGCAGCGCCCAGGCTCCGCCCCGCGCCCGCGGGCATGGTGGTGGCTGAGCCCGAGGATGACCCCCCAGTCAGTAAGTGACACTTTTTGGGGACTCCCCTTTGCTGCACCCCCACTTTTCTTCCTCCTGTGCTTTATTGGGTGGGATCCCAGACACAGCTGGGGAGCAAAGGGAACATCTGGATGGGAGGGGTCACAGCTGGGTGAGAGTCACAGGGGGGGTTTGGGTGTGCAGGTGTCACCCCTGGTTTTGACACCCCATTCCCCAACTTTGGCACCTCCTGCCCCCAGTTTATTTCCGGGCGCTGGTGAACTTCACCCACAGCATCGACTACAGCTCACGGCTGGAGGACCCCGATTCTGAGGAATTCAAGGAGATTTCTGAGGCTGTTGTGGATACGGTGAGGACTGGGGAGACTCAGGGGGGTGCTGGGGGTGGGGGGCACCCAAGGGACCATCCTGACCCCTCATTTTCTGCCCCCCAACAGCTGGAGTCAGAGTATTACAAAGTGCCTGGGGAGCAGGTGGTCAGTGTGGTCTTCATCAAGTGAG